ACAACATTCCGTACAGAAAAATGAATGGTCTTTTAGAGAAAGATGTCGTTTGGATTGAGGAATGCAGGAGCCACATAGCAAAGGTTGGTAGACAAAGTGTTCGACAAACAAATAGGAATAAATATAGAATTCTATGTTAATGACATGGTCATCAAGTGTAATAACGACATTGATTTCTTGAAGGACATAGAAGAAACCTTGAAGCAACTGAGGCGAACTAGCATGAAACTTAATGCCAAGAAGTGTGTATTTGGGGCACAAAAAGGAAAATTCCTCGGTCATGTCGTAACGATGACACGGATAGAAGAAAATCTAGAGAAGGTGGAAGCACTACTAAAGTAGAAACACCTAGGAAAGTAAAAGCCATACAAAGCTTAAACGGAAAGCTAGTAGCGATTGGAAGATTCTTAGTAAAATGAGCATAACAAACCCTGTCTTTCTTACAGGCATTGAAGATACACATAGGAAAAAATAGCATCACATGGTCGAGTGAAGATGAGGATGATTTCCAAAAGCTAAAGCAACACCTTCAATGTTTACCAACACTAGTAGATCCAGTCACAAATAAACCGCTAACAATGTACCTATCGTCAAGTCAATTATGTCAGTATTTCTTGGCTCACCACATTTTGTTATCAGGGTATTACAAGGAGATGAATGAAATTACTCGATCGTCGAGAAATTAGTTTTGTCTTCAGTATACACAGCAAGGCAATTGTGTCAGTATTTCTTGGCTCACCACATTTTGGTACTTACGAACCTACCGATCAAGCAAATCCTGAGACAACCAGAAAGGTCGGGACGAATGACTAAATGAGAAATGGAATTGGGAGAGCACGATATCGATTACAAACCAAGGGTCAGTATTAAAGGCCAAGCCTTGGCAGATTTTCTAACAAAAATGCCCGAGGGCCAGGTTCGGTTGATGGCACATACCGAGGATGCTTCTACTAAGTTATTGATATAGAAACAGACTTTTAGGGAGCACAGGAAAACAAATGAATCGATGTTACATATTGATGGAGCCTCTAACAAAGATGTTTCCGTAGCTGGAATCATTATTGTCAGTCCACACGGATACCAATAAACCAATGTGTTAAGGTTTGAATTCTCATGTACAATTAATGAGGAAGAGTATGAGGCTTTGCTCGTAGGTTTGTGACTTGCGTGAAGCATGAACATCTCAAATATAAAGGTATTGTACAACTCCATGTTAGTTGGCAACCAAATCAAAGGAGACTATAAGGCAAATGACACACACATACAAAAATATATGAGCCAAGCGAAAGCGTGGATAAAAAGGTTTCAATAGTTTGAAGTCACCCAAATACCACAGTCGATGAACAAAGATGTAGAATCCTTAATCAAGATGGAATCAGTAGTGTTCTGTCATCTCTCGAAGAAAGTATTAGTAGAAATACTACCAAAAAGGAGCATTAAAGAACCCATCATAGAGACTTTCGAGATAGCCGAGGAAAAAGGAATCATGGATAAAACTCTACATCCTTTTCCTTAAAAAAGGAATATTACCTAGAGATGAAAAAGAAGCTTGAATAGTTCGTATCAACGCAACACGCTATACCATGTATGAAGACTAGTTGTATCAGAAGGGATATTCCACTCATTGGTTAAAATGTATCACAAAAGTAGGAAGAGTTTGTCATAAGCAAAATACATTCAGGTATATGTGATGGGTTTTCAGCATTCTAACACTCCTATGGTGTACATGCAACCCTAGAAACCTTGGATCTATGTTTGACTAAGATACATGCAAATAATTATTTTTCCAAGGTTCTTATCCTAACTAGCATGGCATGGGGTACTTGAATCAAATAAAACTAGTAGAATTACTTACCTTGTAGTAGTAGTTGATTGCTTGGAGTTTGAGAGCCTAGCACCAATAATGTGGATGCCTCAAATGGAAGTCACAAATCACCACAAACTTGGAAACTTGAGAGAATAGTCACAAACTTCTTGAAATCAGCCCTCTTAGTTTACACACATCAACTAGTGCAATTTCAAGAACCAAAGCCTCCTTTATATAGTGTGGTGGATTAGGGTTACATCCATGTAAACCCTAATACCCATGTCTTTTCATTTCCATGAGATCCATGGGTTAAAGCTCCATGGAGTATCCATGGACTTTCCATGCAAGCCTAGCCCATTCCAAATAAGCATTAGCTCACACTATATAAATACAAGAGCCCATACTTAATTAGTCATACTTTTGATCTCTAAATTAATTATAGATCAACACTAATTAAATAATATGATTTTATATTAATATATTAGGACTTATAATATATTAATAAATCATAACTTATACTATTCTCAAACGATTATCCATAAATTGTTCGGGTGAAGTGCAACCTAAATGGACCATGCCGGGTCGGGTCAAGTACATACCAAATATAGTTATGGACTTAGACACTATATCCAACAATATGTGGTGCACATGTAGGTTCAATAGAAATTACTTAAAAAGTACTTCGAACAGGGCATTTCTGGCCATCGACGACTAGCAACACAAACACTTTCAAAAAAATCAATGATTTCCAGATACACTTCAACGTTCCTACCCTTCCGCCTAAAAAAATGGCAAGTATCACCAGCCCATGGCCTTTCTGTCAGTAGGGGATTGACATTGTGGGACCTTGTCCTATACCACCAGGAAGGTTGAAATTCCTGATAGTAGCTATTTATTATTTCACCAAATGGGTCGAGGCGGAAACACTAGCAGTTATCTCAGGAAAAAATTTGGCAAACTTCATTTGGAAACAGATAGTATCTCATTTTGTCCTCCCACACACGATCATCAGTGACAAAGGAAAGTTGTTCGCAAAGAATCCTTTCAAAAAAAGGTTCCAGGAAAAAGGCATCAGGTAGAATTTCACCTCGGTGGCGGACCCTCAAGTGAATGGACAGGTAGAAGCTATTAATAGAACTCTGTTGAAAGGAATCAAGAAGAGACTGGGGAAAGCTAAATGAAATTTGGTCGAAGATTTACAAAGCGTATTATGGGCATTTTGAACAACAACGCGCACACTAACCAAAGAAACACCATTTAGCCTGGTATATGGGACAAAAACAGTTATCCTCGTAGAAGTAACAATATGAAGCACCCAAACCAGGAATCCTCAAGAATGCATGAATAACACAGACCTACGATCGAAGCTAGATCTTGTGGAAGATAGGCAAAGTGATGCAACTATATGACAAGCAACCTACAAAGCAATGATGAAAATATACTATAATATTAGAGCCAAGAGTACAACATGCAAAGTGGGAGATCTGGTCCTCTGTAGAAATGAGGTAAGCCGATAAGAGCACATCGGGAAGTTAAGCCTAAAATAGGAAGGACCATATAAAGTGATAGAAGCCAGAGAGAACGATTCATATGTATTGGAGAACATGGAATATGAGAAACCTATGCAAATTCCATTTCTAGGATAACGATTGTCACGAATCAGCCAATAGTTAATCAAGAAGTATACTAATAGTTTTAGGCGGTAATTACCTTTTGTATACCACATTATTACTACCTTAAATGCGAAAATTTGGCTCTTGATTGGTAACATTTGACTATATTCATTAAAAATTAACCATAAATATTTGTAGCTTATGGTTCAGTCAACATGATCCACAAAATCATGGTTCGACCCTATATTCATTAAACATGAACCATAAGTATTTGTAGCTTATGGTTCGGTCACCATGGTCAAGCAAATCATGGTTTGACCCTATATTCATTAACCATGAACCATAAACCTTTATAGCTTAAGGTTCGATCACCATAATCCACTAAATGATGGTTCGACACTATATTCATTAAACACGAACCATAAGTCTTTGTACCTTATGGTTCGGTCACCATGATCCACCAAGTCATAGTTCCACCCTATTTTTGTTAAACAAAAACCATAAGCCTTTGTAGCTTATGGTTCGGTCATCATGATCCACCAAATCATGGTTCGACCCTATGTTCATTAAACATGAACCATAAGTCTTTTTAGCTTATGGTTCGGTTACCATGATGCACCAAATCATGGTCTGACCCTGTTTTTGTTAAACAAGAGCCATAAGCCTTTGTAGCTTATGGTTCGGTCATCATGATCCACCAAATCATGGTTCGACCCTATATTCATTAAACATGAACCATAAGTCTTTTTATCATATGGTTCGGTCATCATGATCCACTAAATCATTGTTGAACCCTATATTTATTCAACATGAACCATAAGTCTTTGTAGCTTACGGTTCGGTCACCATTATCCACCGAATCATGGTCAGACGCCATTTTTTTATAAAACAAGAACCATAAGCCTTTATAGCTTATGGGTTGGTCACCATGATCCACCAAATGATGGTTCAACCTATTTTTGTTAAATAAGAACCATAAGTCTTTGTAGCTTATGGTTCAGTCACCATGATCAACCAAATCATGGTTCGACCCAATATTGATTAAACATAAACCGTAAGTCTTTTCTGCTTATGGTTCGGTCACCATGACCCACCAAATCATGGTTCGACCCTATTTTCATCAAGCATTACCCAAAAGTCCTTGTAGCTTATGGCTCAGTCACCACGATCCAACAAATCATGGTTCGAGGGTATTTTCAATAAACATAACTCTGTGTAGTTTACATGTCAGTATTATAAATCACCATGATTCGCTAAATCATGGCCCGACTATATCTTTCTTATTAAACCTAAACTATAAGATAAATTGAAGCAACACTTAATCTCATATTGACATTATTATTAGCTTCATCAATGATCAAATTAATATGGATGATGAAAAGAAGATAAATAAAATCAACGTTCAATACAATTGAGAAAGAAGTTTCAGGCAGGCACACCATGATTGCAAGTTAGCAGGTACAAATAAACATGAAAACAAAATACTATCTGATACTATGTTAGCTCATCCATACAAACAAAACTCTTCCAAACTTATCGTAAAACTATCACCGAACAATTACATACAAGCCCTAGCCAAATCAAACACTAGTACCTACGTCATTAAGCTTGGGAAGCGGATCCAAATCTGCCTGTTTCTTCTTTAACATATTGATATCAACCTTATTCCTTTCCAAAATACCAAATATTGAATACCTATAGGTAATCATATCAAAAAAGTGATCGAGAATATGGCATTGTGCATCCAGATAAGAGTATATGGCCTTTTTTCCATTCAGTGCTTCGACATACGTCTCTTTCATCGAATCACAGGCTTGATGTAGCCCCAAGTGGATGGCTGCAATTTGAAGGGTAGCATTGACATCCCTAAAGTCATCTGAGTTCATGACTACTCAAACAAAAGAATGGATAAATTCCTTCGCAGCCCATTGCAACTTAGAAGCAATTTGCTTTGGAATCGTTTCATTTTGAAATAGTTTTTTGTTCATATGAGTCACAAAGTTCATCCAAAGACACTATTTGAGCATATTTCTCAGAAACAAAAGTTTTAAGGGAAAAAGATGTCATCCCCGAGTAGTTTGATGCAAACGTCTTTCCCCGAGCAAAAATCTCTAGTTGGGAAACCTTCTCGGTATATTCAAGCTTCAGGAATTTGAATTGTTGAGATTTTTCTTCAAACTCTTTATTCAGTTTTAAACGTTTACCAATTGCATCATCAGCCCTAAGCTAAAGGTCTTGGTTAAATTTCTTCAGTTCATCTTGACAATGAAGACTCTCACTCAAGTCATTCACCAAATCCCTATTTCTCTCCGAGAAGCCCAATACATCCATCTGCAGCCTCTTTGTCCCTTCTTCCAATTGCTCGTGGCTATTTCGCATACCCATAAAAGCTTGAAAATATTCATAAAACTTTAATTGTTGATTGGAAAGGATATATGCACATGTCTGAGTGAGAGCAGAAACCTATTCAATAAGTGCATCTCCTCCATCATACACGACCGAGCCCTAACAATGCTTTCCTCATCCGACGCACTCACAAGCTTAGGACCATTAGGAATAGGGGTCCTAGAAAAGGGCCATTGGAACTAGGGAAACGAGACAGGAACTGTGACAAGTGTAGGCATATGAGCGTCCTTCTCGGAAGAAGGTAACATTGAAACAAACAAAACATGTATCAACATCAAGAAAGTTAATTGAATATTAATTTCAAAATTTAAAACATATGCTCTAGTATTTTGAAAAGTTTAAAATACAACTTATACTATATGTAAAATTAAAAGTTTAATTTTTACTATATATATAAGACTAAGTCAGTTGAACCTCTAGTATGCCTCATTCACAAAGTCATATTATAAGGTGAGTTTAAGGAAGCGACCTATTAAATGACCGCCATTGGGTATCCATTCTTACCCACTAATCTCGTGTATGGTGGACGGTCGTTAGCCGAATTGGTTTGATAGGACAAATTAATTCTCATTAAAAGTATAATGATATTAAAAGTAACTAAACCCTTTTATTTGAAATCTCAATCTTAGTTACTTTAGGAAAAATGTGAATTTGTATGCTAATCTATGAAAACGTAGATCATACTTTATATGTCGTTAGTGGAGCGTGTGTGGTTAACCAACACACTAATAGGGACAATAAAGATATATGATTGACATCTTGAAAAATTATCGTTGTTTATGGAGCATGTGCGGTTAACCGACACATGAATGTGAGATGATCAATGGCATCGAGGTTGTGAAGCGAGTTTTCATGGTTATTCACATCTCGTTTGTGATCCTCGGCATCCCAATCATTAGATTCAATGAATCTCACAAGATCTAGGAGTTTCATAAGATTGAAATTGGTAAAAGCTTACCGACCTAAAATAGATTCGAATTTGATTATGACATCCCTCATCAAAGTTTAAATAAAAAATAGGGATCCTAGCCTTAATTTAAAACTTATGGGTTAATAATTAAGGATTAAAATCAACTAACTTGAATTCTCTTTTCTCCCATTATAGATGTTAAGTCAAGAAAATAATGGTCTTTCTTATTCTTTTGGAAATGGTTTTCCTCTTTTTCTGAAGATGATCGTCCATTTTCTAATCAAGGTGAAAATGTTTTCTGTTCTTCGGGAAATGGTGGAACTGGATGTCATGCTTCTCCAACTCTTCATCCTCCTCCTCCACCTCCAGTAACTCACCCCATGTCACGTTTTCCTCGAGTTGAAAGTTACGAAACTACTCAAGCCCTATTAGCATGTAGACATCAAGATGGAAATTTTGTGTGTGCGCATGTTTTGGAAATGAAATCATACATTGAGAAATTGGATAGAATGGGTGTCCTTTTCCCAAAGGAGAAAGCCATTGATTTGGTCATTCTTTCACTTCCTAAGTCATATGGTTAGTTCATTGAGAATTTTCATATGAGGAATATCGACATGACTCTAGTTGTTCTGACCCAAATGTTGATTGTTACTGAAGGAAAAATGCTTAAGAGCACAAGAGAAGTTAAAGTGATTGGGGGGTCTATCTCCATAGTTTCCATGGACATTGACAATGGTGAAAATGGTGGTCCAAAACAAATTTCTCTTCGCAATGGAAAGGGATCGACCAAGGTCAAACTTTTTGATCGTATGGTAAAGAGAAAATTCTAGTTCTGAGATAGTTCCATGTGTTAACACTAAAGAGTCCATATGTTTCTATTTCTAGTTGAAGGGACATCGGTTGTGAAGCTGCCCTAAGTACCTAAATTATCTCAGAGATAGTGAAGCCAAGTTCTGTGACTCTACTTCAGGTACATGCATTATCTCGATCCGTTATCTTTACAAATTCCTATTCATAGACTCTTAACACATGATCTGACGATCACATTTTGATGTTATTATGGGATCTAAGAGAAAGAAAGAAGCTTAAGAAGAGTGAGTTAAATCTTATCATGACATATGGACTTCGGTCGCATGGTTTGATGATCAGAATTTGGAGCTACTGCTTGGGAGTTAAGATAATTTAATAAATTGCTTAGGAGATGTCTAGAAGCATAGTTTTCATTTTATTCATTGTAAGGACAAGTTCTAATTTTCGTTTATTATCAATAAAAGTGAAATTTTGGTTTATCTAGTTGGCTTACTTTATATTTCCTTACAATGGCATCAACGAAAGTGTTGGTTACATTCCTATTGATTTAATTTTTATTATATCGCTTGTGGTAGTGTCATAATTAACTAAGTAGAAAAGAATTTTCATCGTCCAAGTTTCAATTGGATAGAAACTTGGAGTTATGCAAATTGAATTGATTGAAGTATGAGAATTTTGATCGTTGGAAGATTCTGACTAGTTCATTGTTCACATGTTTATGTGAGTCAAGTGAAGGACTAATGGATCTAGTACATATTGATATGGACTATTCAGATCCACTATAAAGGATGAAAAATCTATTCTTCATGATTTACAAATGTTTCAGTAAATATCATTGTATTTATAATATTAAGCAAAAATCTGATACTCTAAAAAGATTCAAAGAGTAGTAGAACGAATAAGAAGAATCTGTTAGGCAGGAAGATAAGAGTTTCTCCAATCTAAAAGGAAAGGAGAGTACTTTATCATCATGTTTTATGATCATCTTAATGATTGTGTAACTGTATCATAATTGATCCTCCAAGAACATCTTAGTGCAATTCTTTGACTAAGAAGAGGAATCAGATATTGTTGAAATGGTTCAATTGAGAGATGAGTCATACTTCGTTTCCAATCAAGTTTTAGAGCCATTCTCTAGTTACTACAGATCATATCTTGAAAACTCATTTCATACTAAGTAGGTTTATAACAGCTCATGAAATCTGGAGTAATAATGTTTTCTTACTCTAGTGCATTTGGAAATGGAAGTTGTGATGTTTTGGTTAAAAAAATAGATAAACTAAGGCCAATTCTATGAAGTGTTTTCTTGTTGTGAATCCACACGTAATTTTAAGTATTTGTTTTAGCTCTTTATTGAATATTCCTCGAGAGAGAAACTTATGTGTCACGACGTGAGTATGAGTCTCATTGATCTTGAGAGTTTCAAGAGTCACTCGACAATAAAACATTTAGTTATCACTAGCACACGACCAGAGGTTGACAACCTATCTTGTTAAGTTGACACATTCTTGTTTCTGTGCACCTTCCAGGTAAGTTGGCAATGCTTATTAGTTTTATGGTTCTCATTTAACTGCAAAAAGCAAAACACATTAGTCAGTGAAAGTATATTGATTAATATCGGTGAGCTGCTTAACAACACGGAAGCACTGGTAGGCCCTTGTTCTACCAGAGGGCAAGAAATTTAGAATAATGAAGTTCATTCCATGAAGGAAAGCTAAATTTGAATTTGGTTTTAACCTTATCTTATGATTGTAGGCTGGAAATGATAGATTCACGTGGATGGGAATGTATATACCATAAAATCTAGGTGGCAAAAGGTTTCGCTCTAATTTTTGAGAATAATTATGAGAAAATACTTTCCCTCATAGATTTTAAAGATCTGATTAAGATCAACATGGTTAGTGGTTATGTGAATTGCGTTCTCAAATTCATAATATGATCACGACATCCCTATTCATATTTTGAATTGTAGGAAATGACAAGGAGTTGTTTGAACTACCAGGACATATATCTATAAGTTTTGAAAGGGTTAAATACACATTTAAGCTATCCAATGAAGGTGTATAAGCTTAAGAAGTCTATTTGGAGACTTATCGAATCGTCGTGTATCAAAAATCTACACTTTATTAAGAAAGTCAAAAAATTGATTTCCATAAGTCCAGTTGATTTCTGGGCAATTGTTAAGCTAGTGGGAGCATAATTGTTATGCTAGTGGGAGCATAATTGTTATGCTAGTATTGTGTGTGTTGGCAATGTTATTCGTATGGAACAAAAGTTCCAATTTGCAAATTGTAAAGTTTGGGAATTGTTTCTCTATAATAGACTTAAGGGAGAGGGCACCCATACTTCGTTTCAAATCTAAAAGTTTAGATTAAAGGGTTTAATAGAACTTACTCTTTGACATATAAGTATCAAGTTGAAATAATTCAACACAGGAAATTCAGTATATGGAAATATTATAACAAGAGATACAAGTTCCTTATGTAAGACATAATGAATTGAGTCCCATATGCTTCAGATATAGGATCGAATACATATGGTATAATATTCGCTTGTTCTGATTTTTCCAAATGTCCTGCATATTGAGAAGGAAAAAAAATTAGAATTTTGTGTGACTATAGTTGTTAAACAACTGTCAAGAACATTTTTAGGTTTACAGAAGATTGGTTGCTTGTGGACAGTTGGAAGTATGGTACTAATGTGGATGGACCATAATGACATGATTCTGGATTGAGATGATTCTTAATCAGAATTGATGGT